GGCAGCTGCGAACCTGTCGCGCTGCAGTCTCTACAGCAGTTGCCACAACTCCAGCGCGATGAGTTGCGACCGGAGACGTTGATCACCGGGACATCGCTGGCAGTTGCGAAGAAGCCTCAGAAGAATCTGATGCGGTTCCGTGCGCGTGAAACTAGACCTGGCATTGCCGGGGCCATGGTTGCTTTGCCAGAAATCGCTACTATCGCTTTGTGGATGTCTATGGCCGACAATGCTTTGGGCTTCAGACCTTCAACATTTCTACTACGCATCTTCAGCCACTGCAACCGTCAGTTCGTACGACGGGACGTAGCTGCGAGGGTGAGCGGCGCAGATTGCACGCCAATCAAGAACGTTCAAGAATCTACACATTTCGTCGAGGCGGTTCGGGATTCATGGCATTGCGAGTACTTTCTCTCCCGGGCAGACATGCAGATGTGCATGACTCGTGAATGATGGTTGCGGAAACTCCAAAGCCAATAACCGTGCGAACGGACAGAACTGGACAGCCTCAAAAAGACAAAGCCGGGGGCTGGCGAAGTACTCCACAAAGATCTTCTGCTGTAAGGTAGCAGACCTCAGATTCCACACAGGCACCGCCTTCTACTGAAAAGGTGGGCTGGCAAAAAGCTCGTGTCTGAGACCCCAACATGAGAATCAATTTCAAGTCGGCCCTGCGACGCAGAAGCTCTCGGAGGATGGTCAGCAGAAAGTCTGTGTGCAAGCTCCTCGCAGCGAGTATCTCCAGGATTTTCCAAGTGCTCTTAAACGGAACTTATGAGCTCTATCGTTTAAAGGCCTCAAGTAGTCAAATTCTGATTCGTTGCACTTTCTGAATCTTTACCATTACCTCCGGCAAGATCCCGTAATCTGGGCCGCACCACCGGGCAGGATCTCAAGTTTCGATACGCACTTCGCGCTGGCCAATGGGTCGGTGTTGTTCAACTGCTCGGCAATATTCCCACAAACATGAGGGCCCGTGCTCAGTCCTCTCGTGAACCTCGTCCAGAATGATGTGGGTGACCCTGCGATGTCAAGCGAGAGTACGAGCCAGCTCCACACTCCGAAAGCAAATCCTGCACTGCCAGGTCAAAATGCAGGAAAGCATGCTACGAGTCTGCAGCTATCCCAAGCCGTACCACATCATCACACCGAGCAGCCCCTCGAGATCCGGAGAGGCATTTAGCCGAGTCAGCAGCACACCGGAGGTGCAGAAGAGGAGCCGAGTCAGCCTGTTGTCTGTGATGAATACTTTCAGTACTTTCTCTATTGCCTTGCAACTACTTCTGCGCCATCAGAAACATGAAATCGTTAAGTGCCCCACTAGCATGCAGAGCCAGATAAGGTTTCAGTCGTGGTGGCGGTTCTCTTCATGCTCAGTCACACTCAGCTGTGACCCACGACATTTCAACCCCAACAACCAACCACCTCTGCTTCGCAGCTTGCGTGTAGCTGTAGCTGAATACTGGTAGGATGGGTTCGCGCCAAATGCGTGACGTGACGCCGGATTGCTCACCGTGAGATTTTAAAAGAAAGGCTGCATCCAGCCTCGTTGCCATCGCATTTAGGCGAACAGCAAAGCCGACAACATCACCGACCGGCTCACCTTGCACTTCGGGAACTGTTCATCGCACAGCATTTCAAAAGTTCACTTCAGCAAATCCTGGGAAAAGAACCTGAATGAATTTGCACTAACATACCTCGCTATGCCAGAGACGAAACGAGAACACAACCAATGCGCTCACTGAACCTGCGAGTGGCCTCTTCCGTGGAACTATCCTTTATTGAGCGGAGGCACCTAGCCTACTTAGTCTACCTCCAAGTAGAGTAGCAGTCAACCTCCTGGCGGCCTCGTTCCTCGGCCACGCGTGTAGCCACCCCAACAGCTGCGATTCTCCGCGGCCTCAGGGGATGAACTGGTAACATTGCAACATGAAACCTAGATGGGGACTTTTTGGCTCATGCATAACTGGGCGAACCGAACCGATCACAGGGATGCTCATGGCCCAAGGCTGGGTCAGAAATCTGCTCGTCAAGACAAGGGCTGTCGGGCTTAGGGTTTGGGATGGTTTGGAGCTTCGAGTCAGCCTTCGACACTAGCGACTCAGAAATGCCAGCAAGGTCCGACTGGAAAAAGGTCAAACGACAGCCAATGACACTGTAGTGTCCAAGTACCAAACATATGTTCAACAATCTGTAAATACATAGAAATACATATTAAAAAATATAAATACAAATATAAATATAGATATATAATATATATATATATATATATATACATAGAAAAACTGGCCTTATCAGGGCCGGCCCATCTTGCACAAAGACCCGCAGGACATAAGACACAAGTTGTCAGCGAAAATCACTGATTTCTGAGTCCCGGTGGCTGCGTGCAAATGATTGACACCTCGCCCCCTTGGCCAGCTGCAGCTGCAGCCTGTCCATAGGCACCCCACATGTGAACACAAGTTTGCACACTTCCTCTGTTCAGCTTAAGGAGTACCGTCCGTGACGGCTAGTGGGATGAGCTCTTGTTAAGCTTGCCTGCTCCTAGTTCAGGCTTCCTCTTTGTGAGTATATTTTACAATGTGACGTGTCGCAGTTCGTCCAAATCCGCCTTGCATCTGCCTTCATTCTTTGCATGGGGCCCCCCTGCACCCAGCTGTCACACCTACAACCGCATTTGCCAGGCGTCGTGCAAGTTATACATACGCACAGACTTGAAAGAATGTCCGTACTGTACCTGTATATATAACGCAAAGAGAAAGAAGTACGTTCATGACATGCGCCTTGTGCATAAACGAAAGCACCAGACCCATTCCCACCAAGCCCACCAACTACGGCCTCGAGGATGAAGTTTGGACACTGTGTAGTCTTCCCGGACCCCGTCTCACCAGCAACAATGACCTTCTCAAAGCGCGCAAAAGCTTCAATGTTTCCTTCCTCGCCAAACATTGAAAGAAACTACACACTAATCAGGTTCGTCTTGGGTGGCTGCATGAGGAGGGTGGACTTGGCTTTTTTGCGATCTACGGTCCAGCAGGTGGGTGGGTGAACTGGTGACCTGCACGACGCCAAGGATCTTGCTACCTGGTGAGCGTGCAGCGCTTCCAGAAAGGCTGCGCGGGCCTCAAGGGCAGGGAACGGATTGATATTTCACGAGCGTATGCGGCGTCGACAAAACCGAGGAGTGAGGTCGAAAGGTCATGGCATGTCACGGCATACAGCAGAAATCCAACATGTATTGGAGACTTTGCGACCTTCCTGCCGCTTTGGCCTCGGCAACGGGCAGCGCTTCCCGTGTCCGCCGAATGTCCGAGTCCTTTCGCAGTCCATTGGGCTAAGCGGGCCAGTTCAATGGGCCAATCAATCAAGGCGAGTCCTTGCCCTCGTATTCTTGCGCTGCTCTTTGGAGGCGCGCATCTCAGCGCAGTGCATGCACTTTCTCATTTTGACATCCGAGTAGAAGTGGACTGCGTTTCGGTAAGAATGCACGAGGAAATACTCAACCACAACCACAACACGTGTATATATACATATATAGGAGAACATGAGCAGCACGATCATTTGTGCATACAGTTTTTGGTCAATAACTCAGAGTGTAGACCGGCCGTAGTGCCGTAGTGCTACAGCCGTACAAACATCTACAGACAACCACTCCAAGCGCAGGGCTCAGTGTTGCAGTCTCTGCTTTGCTGAGAGGAGTCCAGCCTTGCACTGTGCGCTTGGCGTACCTTACTGTAGTGGCTTTGCACCCATCTGATTCGAGCACGGCTTGGAAAAAAATGTGCTCTGGGTTCCAGCTTCGACTCTCACAGCCCCTACATGCAGAGGTGTCCATGGAGCAACACCATTCGGAAGAGACGAGACATGACTGTGACAGGACGCGGAACACACAAGCCATGCGGTGTACTCCGCAGATTGTCTTTTCATCATGCAGCCCTTCGGATCCCGGGTCTCAACTGTCAAGCTCAATGCACCAGAACCTGACCCGACACCTCACTGCATCAGCCCACACAGTTCAAAAATGACCCTACAATTATTTGTTGAGGTGAACAGCCAGGTGACACTGCTCGGACGGCTTCCAGGCTCGACAAAGCATCCTCCGCAGCTTGGGCTTAATTGTCGGTTCATTGCGGCAGTTTCCACAGGCAGCATGTACAGCGCACAGCTTTCGCCGTGGACAGGCCGCAGCTGTAAATGGAGGAAGCGTTTTGCTGTGGGCAAGCACCGTACGGGCTGTGTCGCGGCATGGGTTGCGCACCCAGCAAGATCACCTCTCCTCCGCCCCACCCGACGTCGGCGAGGCTTCGGCCTCTTCAGCTCAGATGTGCACAGGGTGTTCAAGGCAAAGCTAAGAGCGGCTAACTGTAACGAACTGCAACTCGCTCCACTTCGGCCCGCCTGGCTCGCCGCTTCTGCGGCCTCCGGATGCAAGAAACATGAGCTATGGTGCCGAGCGACTTTCGAGACCAAGGAAGTGAGATGTGATGAGACGTGAGCGCCTCAAGCCTCGAAGCCTCGAGCCGTCCATTGCCAAGCATCTCTTGGACCCTCTTAACTTGCCAGAAGACGGCAACGTGTTTCACAGCGCTTCAGAGCGCTACACAGTGCTCCCCATGTCCAAAGCACCCTCTGAAGAAACCCCAAGAAAGCTTCGGACTTCGATTCTAATCTTGGCCTTCTCGCTGGCGTCCGCTGCACTGGCTGCACTGGGTGGAGGGTCCCTCACCAGAAACGGGGAGCGCATCTGCCTGCAGACCTAGTTCGAAACGGAGGAGGCCTCGTGGAGACAACAAGCACGGAGCCATCGGCCAGGTCCGATGTTCGCTCCTTATGCTTGGAGCAACAACATGAGAAGCATAAGATCGGAGATGCGATGCTCAGACCCCACTGTCAATGCATGAATCTAGCCACAGAAGTATGCCCATGGTCGCTCTGCCTGCATGTCTTGAGCACTCTGCAGCTCTCTATCTTATTTTTTCTGCATGTTAGTCGAGTCGAGGTTAGTCGGCATTCAGCTGTCTCCCAGCCACAGACACAGAGTAAGGCTTCCAAGCCCTCTTGTTCGGTCTTGACATGACTTTCAAGACTTCGTTGAGCTTGCCTCTGTAGGTGTCCGTGCCTAACTTCTCACGAACAATGGGCTGGGCAGTGGAGATTGGCTGGATCACGTACTCTTTGCCCTGGATCACGGGGATGGCAGGATGGAGACGCTTCGCGCTTTCCTCCTCTTGCAAGGCTAAGCTCTCCTCCGTCTCTGGTGGCGGTCGAGGAATGGTACCCACCCGATCACTTTCCGCAAGGAAACCCTCCAAAGAGTCGGCCTCGTCTGGGATCATGATCTGCCGCAACCATCTCTGTACTAAGCCCTGTGCCCGCCTTCGGTTCAGAGGGGTCTCCTCCGGATGGTTCTGGAGCTTCGCCACAACCTGCCCAAGGCGGGGTTCACCTGCGTCGCGTAGGGCATCTTTGGTAATGGGCAAGCGCTCCATACAAGTTAGAAGCGTGGACCGGAGGTGGACGGAGGGAAGCTGCCCATTGGGGAGATCCTGCAGCCACAGCGCTAGGACCTTGCACCCGCCGTAGGCAATGAAAGCATCAGAAAATTGGAACTTCTCCATGACTTCCACGGCGACGGGAAGCATGCGCAGCTTCTTCAACATGGGCCTGCCCTGGTGGTGTTCCTCCAGGTCTTCTGCAGCAATGCCTTCCATCTTCTTGACAAATGCCTCGACAAACCTGGACATGGAAGAAATGATCTTTTCATTTTGCACGAACCACTCTCCAAACTTCAAGTAAACATTCGGCCCGACCCCAGATTGACTTAACGGACTACGGGGGAAGAAGGGGGGGCCAAGTGCTGGAGTGGGTTTTGGGGACAAACCCGCAATGGCAACTAATTCCAAATATTTTCCACCAGCCCAAAATCGTCTATAGGGCCCGTGTTTTTTCTGCCCAGCAGCCGCATACCCCACCGAGGGTTCACAACAGGGATGGTACAAGTTGAACACAAGTAGTTTGGAGCGAGCTGTGAACAGCACAATTTCAGACCAAGGTGCACGTGGGCCTCTTCATCTTTGATGACGAGGCCTGAGAAACAGCCAGGGGAGGCCAACATTCGCATGATGCCTTCAACTCATCATCGCACATCGTCCTACGATCTCTGTCCCCCTTTGCAAACACTCCACCTGGACTCCACCTACTTAGTGCACCTTCGCCCTTTCCACCGAGCAAGTTGCACCGTTGCATCGCGGCTCTACAAAGAAAATTGACATCCCGGCCTCGCCGCGGCTTGATGGATTCCAAGGCATGGGTCAACTGCTCGACGAGGCTCTCCTCCTTCTCCTGTGCAGGGATGTGTTGCCCAAGCTGACGGCACGCGGCACAAGATCAACTCCATTCCCGCCGCCGCGCCGCCCCGGCGTACTTCACGTGAAAGCAGCGGACACCCAGCCAAACGAGCCCACACCCAAATTGAAATCCCACTGCTAAGCCATTCCAAACATAGCTCCTTTAAGGCCCCAGCCTGCCCACTCAGTCTAGAGCGATTCGCTTGCAAAGACCATCAAGAACATCATGCGCAAGAACACCGGAATGACTTCTGACTCTGAACCATCTCCCAATATCAATGCTGTGCATCTTGTGTGGGTGGCACGTCTGCCCGCCTGTTCCTCAACGCGTGCAGGGCTCGACCTGCAGCGATTGCTCTGAGGAAGCATCCGAAGTACGTTAGAAGGCTTACAAAGTTCGAACATGTTCGAACCTGGGTGCAACTTTGCAACACCCTTCTGCCTTCTTCGCCGGCCAAGGCCGAGGGATCCAGCAGCAGGCGATGGGCTCAGTGATCGACCCAGCCTCAACTGTGGACAGTGAAATTTCAGGGTGGTCAGGTGAAGTCTTCGGGTGGCGCGCCACCACGGAGAAAAATGCATAATGCCGGGGGCACAGGGGCGACGGGTTAAGCTGCACCTCAAATTGGCTGAGGTAGACTCATTAAACGGGAGTGCAAGGTTTGCTGTGATGTCCATGACGAGGAGGACACCAATCATGAAGCCTATTCTTTCCGTACCTTGATCAGTTGCCAAGCAAGCCACCTCCTGCTAGAGCGAGCTGGCGAAAGACCAGCAGCCCGCGGAGATCCCACTGATCCCATAGTCAAGTTCCCGCCCACGCTGCTGGGCGCGACCTCCTCACCCCCAGACATGGCTGCATGATACAGACTGTAATGACTGTAAGGGTTCAAACATACTCCAGTCTAGGCTACACGCATAGTGGTGTACCCATGTCTCTCGAACAGGAATGCCAAATCGAACAGTCCGAAAGCTGAGTCTGCTCACATCTCTGGACATGGCTTGCCATAGCAGCCACAGCAACATGCTGAACAAAAATTCTGCAGCCCGCTCCGACGCTTGCTCGTGGTCGCTCGCATCGTCCAGCCCAAACCTCCCGAAGATGTCATCCTCCTCGACAACTTCCTGGTGGGCATCACGTTCAACAAGCACTGTAAGGCAATGTGACAGGAGCGCGCGCTGGCTACGTTGATTATGGCTGGAGCTTTCTACCCCTTTCTATGCTTTCTAAGCTTAGATCACTTGAACAATCTTGAATATACCTTTGTTTCACTGCTCAACAGATTCCCAGAAAGCGCCTTGTCTGGGGGAGTCGCATTCTCCGGCTCGTTGTGCTCAACGATATTGGAGGGCGCGTCGAGGAAAGCCGAGGTCTTCCGTTTCTTCTCTTTTTTGTCTTTCTTGTCCTTCTTGGCTTTATCCTTTTTGAGCTTCTTCTCTTTTTTGTTTTTCTTCTCCTCTGCCTTCGTTCCATTTGTTGTCTGCTTGTCCCTCGCCACTTCCATCTCCACTTCGTCCATGAGGTTCTGCAGCAAGACAACAGTTTAGCTAGTCGGGGCATATGCGGCTCTACTTGCCTTGGCAGTAACAGGTCCAGGTATACTCCAGACAAGACGTCAAAGGATGCGAGTTGTCATTTGTCAAATGCTACTATCACCTCATCTTTGTCCCTGCGCCAGGAATCGCTGAAAGCAAATGAACCGCCTCCGTGTCATCTCTGGGGGCCACTTTGACTGGCAAGGGTGCCTTCTGCTTCTCCTCGGAGGGAGAAGCAAGGCCACTAAGTTGGCTTGGTAACCGAAGACATAGACTCTGCTTCAGTTTTCCATAGTTTTCAGGTAATCATGCTTCCAGCTGCACGCCTCCTCTTTCTCGGAATCGCCAAACAGCGCTTCCTGCGAACTCCGACTTCACAGGCAATCCGTGGAGAGACCAGCACGTTAGTCTGGACGAACATCGATGGACCGTGTCTGCTGTCCACGTGTCAAAAGATGTCAAAATGACCCCTTCGGCGTGCCAGAATTAAGGTCCCCACCCCCCCACCCCCCCCCACCCCCCGCCGTATGGACTTGCATATTCGATGTGACAATGCTGTGGATGAATGAGGACGCCTTCTTGGAAGAAAAGACGAAAGGATGATGTACTCCAATTGCAAGCAGCAGGCCTAACTTGCTTAAAAAAAAGCAGGCTACATAGAAGCTCCCAGCTGTGGCCCTGGAAGTCCTCCATAGCGGCGTCGTTGGCCTGCGCAGCGATTTGATTGGTCCCTGCACCCCACACTCATGCAGCGAAACTCACATGCCTGACCATCCTTTGCAGGGGGCTTTTCTGCAGAATCCTCGGAAGGCTGGTCCCGATGCTTCTTTTCTTTTTTGGACTTCTTGTCCTTCTTGTCCTTCTTTTCCTTCTTTTCCTTTTTGGCTTTCTTCTCCGCCTTGTCTTTGCCTGCTTTCTTTTCCTTTTTTTGGTCCATGGCTCGGCAAAGGGTCGAAGCAATGAGCCTGCTGTGAGTCCGCAAAGCGAAGCTGGTAAGCTAGAATGCAATTTGCTGGGTTTGCTTGTTGATTCCGTGAGAAAGCTTCGGTTGGCTTCGCGGCTAGGTCGGAGTAGGAGAAGGACGTGGGGCTTTTACGGTTGAAGAGTTTAAGGCACAGGTGCAAAGCGATTTCCCTTGACTCTAGGGCCCTAGAAAAACACATGTGGGGCTGCCCTGTCTGCCTAAACCACTGTCGACTCACGAAACGAGGAGCCGAAACAGCTGGGCATGCGGATCTGCGCAGGATCTCCACACACACAATTGCTGCCCCACGAATGCGTTTGTTAAGAAATCTTCATGGATTCATGCATCATGCTCACGCGCTGCTTGCAAACACAAGCAGTGCAGGAAAAGCAACTGCAATGCAGCTGCGTAAACATGACATGACTGTCTGGTTCAGTCGCTGCCTAAGACCACGGTTTCACAGACAAAGTGTCGTGATTCTGTTGGGCACCGACCACATATTCGCTCGGTGCCCCCTGTGAAAACAATGCACTCACAGAACCTATGCAAACAGGCTTCCAGACACACACAGGGACGGGAAATACAGGAGCACACAAAGAGACAGGGACACAGTTCGATCGAGTTTGCTCTCTCAGCCTTGCATTTTGTTCCTTTCGCGTACCTCTTCGGCCCTGACTTTGGGACCAGCCGAGGATACTTTTAACCCTCTTTGTACAACATTGTTTTGGCAGAGCTGCAGAAATGCTCTTTCTGGCGAATGTCAACCCAGGTTCAGCAAGTCAATCGGGCGCTTGTTCCTGGGAGGAGGGTACTCTCCCACGATGAGCTGCTGCTCCAGGCTGCCGCATGCCTGGTCAGAGATTACATCCCTTCTTCCCTCGGTGCATCTCTCGGAGCCTCTCAGCTGGCACCTGCTTCACCACGTAGCTCAGAAGAGTCAGCACCGCCAAAGGCCATGCAAAGTCCGGGAACAAAGAGATTCCCAACACACCCAGCAGCACCTTTCGGGCTGTCTAAAACTGAACCGAATTGACGTCTCAAGTTCAGATATCTGTCCTAGTATCGCAGTGCCACAACCACGGTGTGCACAGTTATGAAGCTCCAAACTGCAACCGGCTCCGGCTTGTCAGCTTGCATCCTCGGGTCTTTTGTTGACTAAGTTTCCACTTGAGGCAAAGGCACGGCCAGCTCAGCCAGCTTCCCCACTGCGCGCGCCGTGTGGAGAGCACGTGTGCAGCTGTCGCAGTGCTCCTGGCACGACTGCTTCGGCCACAACGCTGCCATGTCAGACTGCATCCCCGAGCCTCGCGCGGTGTGCATAGGCATAAAGGCATAAAGGCACAAGGCGCATTAGATGAATTATATGGTCTCGCGATGTCTTGTGGGACTAGTTTACCCCGCTTGCGCAGAGTCAGGTTTGCACGAACCGCGTACAGGAGGCCTCACATGCAGCGACTTCTAGGAACAAAGTGGTTCACCAATGATATCCGATGATTCAGCAGGCCGCTGCAATGTTGACATCATCGTATTCCTTCCGGCTGGTTGTTGCAAGTATGCCCCCTAATGCGAGAGATTCCTGGCGACTACATATGGCCAATGGCTTGAAACTGACTATTGATGCTGAAAGCTCGTGCTAGAATCTGCCAGAAACTCAAGCCGATTGGGCTCTGCATCCGCCTTCAGTCGTAATCACACCCCGACAGAAACTTGTCCTTCCTTCCTTCCTTCTCGCTCAACCCCGGTGGGCGTCTCCCAGATGGCCCGAGCAATTAAGAGGTCTATGGAGTGAAACAGGGGGCCTCGCACGAATGTCGCAATCTCTCTCTATCTCTTTCTTCTTCTGACGTTGATGCTTCTTCCTGCTGCTGGGCTTGAAGGCCAAGGAAGGTGACGGGAGCGGCCGAAACGTCACGGTCGGAGTGAAACGGAACGAAAAGACGGAGAAAGCATCTGTGCTGTACGCGGGGGCGGGAAGGGTGCCCCCGAATAGATCACACAATGCACCTTTTCTTCTTCTTTTTCTTCTTCTGCTGGGCCTGGGGGCCACAAGGACCCCCAGCGCACAAGCGTGCCGAACCGACTTGTGACTCGGCCCCGCTTACTGCTGGCCAATGCCAGTGCCAGCATTCCCCCAACAATCACCGAACAAGCGTCTTCCCTGATAACTAGAAATCTCCCCGGGTCGTAGTACACCTCTCTCTTTCTTGCCTTCTTTCTTTCTTGGAGCTTGAGGGACGAACCCCCTGTGCAGACTCTTCTTCTTCTACGGGGCATGGGCGGCGTCACCGCCCCTCGCGCACTAGGCGCGCCCAGGCACACGTCCAGTCCAAGCGACACTTGCGTCCGAACCGGCCGGGAACACGCTAGGTGATGCACTTTGCCCTGCATATCCCCTATCAGTAGCTCTACCAAACACTCACAACGTAGTGCTGCATCGCCCCGTGTACTTCCGGCCTTCTTTCGTTCTGCTGTGAGGTATGTTGTTGAAGCAGACTCTCTCTCTTTCTCTCTCTCCCTCCCATCTGCTCTACTCTGACAACTTGTCAAGGCACCGTGTGGGAATGAAGCCGCTCCAGGAGCTCAAGCTTGTTGGTCCAAAGCCTGCGCTCACCTGGCGAAGGCCCCTTTGAGATCTGCTATTTATAGGGTTCCAAGGTCTCACAGCAACCAGAGACTGTTGGCATGTTCTTCTACAGTGTGGGATAGTATGGGCTTCCTGTGCATATCTATTTGCCTCAAGATAGGCATATGTCGCCCCTCCCCACCCCCCCAAAAAAAAAAACGTCTCACCAACTTGTTTCATACGCATGTCCCGGATCTCAGTTGAACATCGTTCAGGGCAGGGGAGGAGCTCGTGGCAAAGAGTAAGGGCTGCATCACAAACCCAATATCGAGCAAAGGCCCCGGGCCCACTTCATACCCACAACATTCTCAACTTTTTGCTCGCGACCGACTCTGAATTGCATCGAAAAGGCGCTGTCGAGCCCAGGTAACGCCACCTCCGCCCGGCATGTGGTGCAAAACAAGCATTCGTGATTGCGCCGATGCTTCAAAGCTTGATCGAGTTCGTGTACTCACGTGTATTCAGTGCAGGCTTGGGTGTCCTCTAGACAGTTTAAGAGCATGTGTCCATAATGGGGACGAATGCCAGCACAAGGGACATGAACTGATTCATAATAAACATATCCGCACCATTTGATCAGAGCATGGGCCTGAAGAGAACTGCTCCAACCAGCGATGGTAGTGTATCACAGCTGCGTCAGCACTCGTTGGCATGTACCTCACTGCTGCTGCCACAAGTCCTGTACTTGCTACATTCCTGCTGCGGTACGCCTGCACTGTCCTGACCAGGGAAAGGTGGGGTCTGATTGAGCCGAGCATCAGTCGATCTCGCCAGCTGCCATCCTGCTCGCTGACTTGCACGAAGATCGCACGCAGAGATGGTCGATTGAGTTTCGCATGAAGTGGGCCTGGATGCCCTCAGGCGCCAAGGTCTCACCTTGAAAGTGCAAGAAGATGTTGTCATCCTGGCGCTCACGCCGACACCGATTCCCAAGTTTTGACTTCTTTGACTGTTTCGGCGGAACGGCGGAGGAAGGGTCAAAGTCCTCGAGGACTTTGTGGTTGGAAAGATGTGTGAAGAAAGCCTCGTCGGAGCATGACATACTCGGCACGTGTGGCACTCTCCAAGGAGCCAAAAAAGAGAATTCTTCCCCGGGGCTGCCAAGGTTCCGGGAGAGCAGGTGAGAAGGCATACTCAAAGACGAAGCGCAGTGGTGGAGCAATCTTCGAGACCTCGAAAACCACGCGAACCTCAGCCGGAGGTGCCCCTTTGTAGATGCACATGCTCCCCAGCTCATTGTACGAGAAAGGAAACTTGCACAAACGCTATTGTTGCAGCGGAGGAGCGAAGATTCCTTGGATTCAGTGGGTTCTCGCATGATGTCTTCAACTTAGGGACTGGCGCATTGCACCTTGTCTTTGCAGCCATGGCTCGACAACAGCCAGGCCGTGCCGGAGTTACGTAGACAATGTTCCAGTCTCGGTACGATTCAGGCCGCGAGGTCAAAGCGAGCACCTGGAACTGTGGAAGAAGCGCTTCCCGGCACTTTGATGGCCCTCCTGATGAGCCCCGTAAGGGTTTCATGTGACTGAAAACTGCTGCATATGCTGCGAATGGGGTGCAGGTGCCACTAAAATAAGCTGAAACGGCAAAGACGACCCTTCATTTGGGTCTGGGGTTGCTTCTGCCAAGCTGCATGGTTTGGAGAAACGAACGACCTTACAGTACACTTGTCTCGAAGGCACTCGATCTTACGAAGAATCATTGGCGGGCTCCATATTGAGGCAGAGAAAAAATGCGAGCTCGATTGTTTCAGGCATCTGCTTTCCTCTCTCTCCACCTGTTCTAGACACCTCCATAGACCCAGACATAAATGAGACTACATACACCTGCAGAGGTCCAACCATGAGGCCTGGACCCTGATGATTTACCTGTCAAATCCTGAAAGTTAGCTTGTGATTTCTCCCTGCCCTGCAGCTCCCAAAACTGATATTGCACACGAACGCTGCAATGTGGAACGAATCCAGAGCCAAGGGGCACTGCACCAGGAGCTGTCGTGACCCGTGCGCCGCGGAAACCTCTGCGAGCTTGTTGCTAGAAGCAGCACAAAACAACAGCCAGAGCAAGAACAAGAACAACAACAGCAACAGCAACCACGACCGCGACGAACGACGACGACGACGAGGAGGAGGACGACGACGAGGAGGACGAGGACGAGGAGGACGAGGAGGACGAGGACGAGGACGAGGACGAGGACGAGGACGAGGACGAGAACAACAAGAAGAACAAGAAGAACAGCAACATCAGCAGCATCAGCATCAGCATCAGCATCAGCAGCAGCAGCAGCGGCAGCGGCAGGCAGCGGCAGCGGCAGCGGCAGCAGAACCAGGAGCAGCAGCAGCAGCTGTGAATCTGCCATCCTGCTTGCAGGGGCACTTGCTGCCCTTTGTCTTGCAACTCTGTGTGCCCATGTTGAAATGATGCAGGCTCACCTTTGGCAGTTGGCGGCCCTTCCATCTTGATCGGAACAGGAGCGGCTTTGTCACCTCAGATTGCGTGGACAGAGGGTAGAAACCGCAAGCATCCGCCATCCCAGGTGCACGTGCAATTACTTTCCCGAGATCCGCGCGTTTGCTGATCGTGTCATGGTGCGTAAAGGGAAGATGAGAGGGATCCTGCATATCTGTGCAGAACGCAGAGGGGCACCAGTGCACTTGCAAGAGAATGCATGCATACGCAGCGCTGCAATGCGAGGATCCATGCACTTGGCTCAGGCCAACGTTGCGTGCATGGTCTCTCGGACATAATTCTCTTTCACATCTGACAGGCTCAGGAGCTGGCCAACACGTTTTCCATCACCGTGGGCAAATCCATGGGAAGGTCCCGTGAGTAATCCACGTACTTCACGCCTGGAGTGGCGAACACGTCCTGTGGTCAGGGATCCAGCAGGACAGTAGCATGAAACAATGTGAAACCGCCTGTGTGCAGCCAGCCTTGCAAGAGACAGCATCCAAAGAGGCAGCGTCGGGGGGCTCTGCAGAGCCGAAAAGAGGAGCCTGAGTCGGCGTCAGGATTCATCTTGTTTCATCTTCCTGCCCCACTACTGTCACAACACCATCGTATCATCGGTGGAAGCCATCACCTTTGCCAGAAGACGGCCCAAGCAAACAGCAAGCCATGGCGTTCCTCAGCCGGCAGAATGGTTGCGCAAGCCTTGGCTGCCGAAGGCGGATGCTGTGAAAGCGAACCCTCGACAAGCAGACATGATTTACTGGCAGGTCGAACGGCAAGGGTCATCGGGACGGTCGGGACCGATGCGAGATGATTTGGGATTGAGCGCAGTCTCGGGCCAGGGGGCACGCGCCGCCTCCGTCAAGCGATCCGGAGCGTCTGCTTGGGGAAGCCGAGAGCAGCGGCCAGTTCCACCTGCAACAGTGCCGATGCAGTGCCACACACCGCCACGGTCTTCAGTTGAATCCTGTGTTTTACGCGAGCCTTCGAACGACCAACCATGGTATGGGCACTCAATGTCTCCGTTCTCCCGGATGCGCCCTTCAGATAGCCGTGCTGCGCCTGTATCATGCGCGCCCAGTCACCAGGCTCACTAGGCAGTCGCGACACAAAGGCGGCCCTCAAAAAGCAGCCACAGGAGATGCTGCGTGCCGACTCTTGCTATTGACATCTGCTGCCTAGCATCGATGTGGGCACTCATCAAGGGCCGCGCGCCACTGGGATCCATCGTGCCAGAAAACAACACTGGCGCCGCAAACTTCGATGCTGTGAGGCCTGGACCTTGCATTTCAAATTCATTGCGCCATGTAGCTAGGGTGAATGGAAGGAGAATGAAGAAGACAAGATCGTTCCTGGCCCTGCCTGTCCGTGGTGTTGGTGAAGCACAAAGGATACCAGGCATTAGCATAGATAGCTGTGGTGTCATCGAGTGCCGCGGCATGTGCCTTCAGCGACAAGGCATCGCCTAGGGCCTAGGCTATACTCCGAAGCCCACCGAACAACCGAACCAACCAAGTTGAACCGAGTTCCTGCACTGATCGCAGGAAGAGGACAGGTCCAGGCTTTCGGCGGAGCCCGCACCTGAGACTGGCCGCCAGCCCCATTTGCACAAGTGATATTCAAGATCTTCCACCCTTTAGAGCGTGAAACACGATAAGTTCCCGAGAACATCTGTCTGACCACCTGGCTGTGAGTTGTGTGTGAGAGGCCGAGCCACTTCACCAGCAAGCTGCCGGCCAGAGCCAGTTTGCCAGGGTTTTGCCAAAGGCCAGGAGCCGCTTTGGGCATCCCCTGAGCCGGCATCTCGGGAAATGTCAGGAACCACTTAGACTTGGAACTAAACCATAAGAACACAGGCTGGCTCTCTCTCTCTCTCTCTCCACACGCTAGGCCCCCCAGAGGGGAGCCGCCCCGAAGGGCGCGAGAGTCCCGTGTCTGTCGTTTGCTGCCGTGCCCGCGGTTTTCGCAGGCGGCTGGACGGGCCGTGGGCCTCTCTCTCTCTCAGTCGCAGCCACGGCGCCTTCGGCAGCGCGGGCACAGGCCTCAAGGTGCTCGCAGGGCACGCCGTCGAAGCCAAGAGGCAGTGTGAAGGGCAAGCCATAGGACCCATAGCCACAGGACCCAAGGTGTTGCAATGTCCCTGGTTCAAAGGACGCCGCGTGATCTGCAAGGAATCGTGCTTTGTCTACGAGTCAACGACTAGGCGGCACCAACTTCTCAAAGTGGGCTGCACGCGATTTGCTGCGTTTCCCACATCGTGTATGTGTCTGCGGTGCGGCTCTTCAGCTTCAACCAGCTGCGGGCTGCAAGGGGGGAAAGTGCAAACAACAAAGCCAAATGGCAGTACTCCCTGTACTTGGAAACAGTAAGCCAAATATAGGATGCTTCGGGTATGTGGGTACCGGCCTGATGCAAAAAGTACAATTAAGTCTGTTCAAGCATATCAAAGTGGGCCATTGCATGGAAAGCTCTGTCCCACGACAGCCCCGCTTGTCGACAGTGTCGACAGTGCTTGAGGCGCCGGCTAAGGCAGGCTGAGGCTCGCCCTTGTCACCTTCAAGATCACAGCAGAGTTCTGCTAGACACCATTGCGGTATCTGCGAAGCATCCACATGCACTGACAGTTCTAGGGAAAGTGAACTGCTGGGGCTCGGAATCGGCACCTTTCTTGTAGACCCAAAGACGTCGCCTCATTGACAGTTGCTGAGCATTCACTCAAAGGCATCCTCTGCTGCTTGACACGAATACAATTGCATATGCAATCTGAGTCCATGTTCGACTGACATGGTGTGCAGGTTTGGGCCGCTGTGCTGGGTCCGTAGCTTGCCATTGATCTGTAGCTTCTTCCTTGCCTCCAGCCAGTGGAACAAGCAACCATGACACGCATGGATGACCCATGATGAATTGTGGTCGAAAAACATGTGCCCTGGACTCACTTTTTCAAGGCCCCGCGCCCCACCCTGCCCCTCCCCGCTCAAAGACAGCAATGCCACGGCACATTCGCAACCGAGTTCACCGTGATATGGCTACTGGGAATCTCACCATGTCGAGAAACTCCTGCAGCACGGCAGCGAGGGATGTATTCTCAGAGACGCCCATGCCACCAACCAGACGCAATACATCAACACGAGGCCGCTCTCCGTTCAAAGCATGCGAACTAACTCTCGCCGGTCAAACTTCGGAGCTTGCCATGAGAACGTTGCTCCTCAAGGGCGTCCGTGGAACCTCTCCGGATCAGCTCAGGCCCTTTGTTCTTCTCACTGGGCTTGCGCTCCTTAGTAAACAACAGAGGCTCACAAAAGCTCTATGGCATGGCAAGAGGAGTGCGCGAGCTGATGCATCATCTTGTCATCAGCTTTGAGCTACCTCCTCATGTGATTGCCTCCTTATTGCCCAAAGGCATCATGGTTGAACAGGTCGCAAAACCGATTCGCACAGCGCGTGCAAGCACACTGCACTTCCTATCAGAGTGTGCAGGCCCCGACACAGGCCAAAAAGAAGAAAGCAGTCCAGAGAAGCATTTGTTTTTTTCATGGCTTTTGCAGCAACATCTTCACACACCGTATATGGAATACTGGTGAAGGCTTGCGCCAATGCCCTACGCAGGGAAACACCGGCAAAACAACAAGTGGAAGACAGAAGACTTTGTAGGTCCTGGAATATCTCTGAAATGAAAAGAAGGATATGAGTCCAGACACGTGCTGCTGGCGTAGCCTTGCTAAATCTTCGAAAGGAACACAAAACCCCTGACAACTCAAGCAAGCAAGCCAATGCAAGAGACTGCAAACAAAAAGGTTCCTTTCAGAAAAGGCTCGTCACGATAGAACACTCGGACCTGTCAAAGAGATTCGGCACAGCAACTTTGGCGAACCTAATGCGCATGAAAGTTCAGACTGCTCTCATCCCACGGAACATGAACCCTGAGCACCATCTTGCGCCTGCACATGGGAGGAGTCGGGCTTGGAACCCTTCGACTTACCTGCGGACGTGCGGAGAACGAAGGCGCCGGAATGCAAATGCTTCCAATTCTGCACATTTGCTGTGAGCAAAACGACTTGGACTCTGGCCGTTGGCATCTTCACCTTCACCAGTCGCTCGAGCCTGAACTTTTCTGAAATTACGTGAAGGAAGTACTGAAATCAATGTGGTTGTTACTCCATCTAGTGCGTATGTACGGCGCTAGAAGTGTTGGAGATTTGTGACCTGGGACATCTTACATCTTGCAACAGTGCACTGTCCGAAGCTTATGGGGGGTAACGAATGCTGATCCCTAATTGGTGTCCTCCTCCTATCAGAACCTCAACCGGCCCCTGAAAGAAGTGGGGGGAATGTATGGCATTGCGATTCATGCCCGGCACTCCGTTGGTCGTTCATCGACTTGCACCTGCCTCGCGCTTGTCTTCTTCTAGCAACTGCTTCATGAGGTTCTTCTTGAGGCCTTGAATTTTGCAGGCGTGAGTCCACTCGAACGGTCGTGACCAATCCTAAGGACTGCAACTCGACGCACACCCCTCACTCCATGGCCCAGATGCAGTAGCAAACACAGTCGCTTGATCACCGAACGACCAAAAAACACTTTCAGAACCACTCGGCACGAACTGCTATCAATAGGAGTGCAGCATCAAGGTCTCGGCGGATCTGTTCCTTTCGCCTTTGCCGGTTGGAAACACCCGCTTCCTGAGAGAAAGAAGTTCAGGGCATAGTCACCCAGGACTTTATACGAGGGGAGGTCTCATGTCAAGGTGTGTGTATGTGTGTGTGTGTGTGTGTGTCTCTGTCTGTGCAGATGTATATATATATATATACAGTAGCATACGATGTAATGCGAGAAGTAGGTCTGGGTGGTAGGGGGTGCGTGGGGAGGGGGGGCGGGCGGAACAGGGGGGGGCGGGGGGGGCGGGTGGGGGTGGGCTTGGGGGGGGGGGGGGGGGGGAAGGTGTTGCGGGGGGGCGCGGGGTGGGGGGGGGGGGGGAGAGGGGTGGGGGGGGGGGGGGGTGGGGGGGGGGGTGGGGGGGGGGTTTGGGTGAGGGGGGGTGGGTTGGGGGTTGGGGGGGTGGGTGGGGGGTTGGGGGGGGTGGGGGGGGGGGGGGGGGGGGGGGGGGGGGGTGGGGGGGGGGGGGGGGGGGGGTGGGGGGGGGGGGGGGGGGGGGGGGGGGTGTGGGGGGAGGGGGGGGGGGGGGGGGGGGGGGGGTGGGGGGGGGTGTGGGGGGGGGGGGGGGGGGGGGGGGGGGGGGGGGGGGGGGGGGGTGGGGGGGGGGGGGGGGGGGGGGGGGGGGGGGGGGGGGGGGGGGGGGGGGGGGGGGGGGGGGTGGGGGGGGGGGGGGGGGGGGGGGGGGGGGGGGGGGGGGGGGGGGGGGGGGGGTGGGGCGGGGGGGGGGGGGGGGGGGGGGGGGGGGGGGGGGGAGGGGGGGCGGGGGGGGGGGGGGGGGGGGGGGTGGGGGGGGGTTTTTTGGGGGGGGGGGGGGGGGGGGGGGGTTGGGGAGGTGGGGGGGGGGGGGGGGGGGGGGGGGGGGGGGGGGGGGGTGGTGGGGGGGGGGGTTGGGGGGGGTGGGGGGGTGGGGGGGGGGGTGGGGGGGGGGGGGGTGGGCGCGGGCGAGGGAGGAGGGGTAGGGGGGGGTGATCGGACGCTTCGCGCTTCGCGTCCATTTGACGTGGTACGGGGCGATGCGAACCATTCAAAAGTGGAAAAGTCCGTGGGCTACGTTGGGATGCAGATCAGATTCCTGAAGCTGGTGTGATGGTGACGTGACTCTGCCCGAGACTGTCCTACCGTAACCACAGTATAAAGGTGCTCGTCCGATCATCTTGGTGACTGGCTGTCAAAATAGCTTGTCCAATCTTGTCAATTTCAGCATCGAAAGTTGGCTCACACACAGGATCGAATCACACATTTGCATAAAGATCCCAAATTTTAAATGCCTCCGGTGGGGAAGCCTCCCGTTCCAAATTGGCAAACCATGGGAAAACACATAAGGTAGTTGTGCAAATCACAGTTTAAACCACATGTGGCGCAGGCAAGGGGGGGGGGGGGGCTCAAGATGGTGGCACATGGAAAAAGGTATTTTGGTGGCGTTGGACGTTGTCTTAGTGGTTTTGAGAAGGTTATTCCACTTCTCTGTCAGTCCAAAGTTGAACTACCGTCTGGGGTACCATACGGCCTTTCGAAAACACATAGCCTTGACAGTTACTCAGCAAGCAACACAGCAAGAGTTGCTGAGCTCTGAACACTCAAGAACAACACTCCAGAAGTAGAACTACATCAAAACGACAAGCCAAATCAACTTTTTCTGGACCGAAAAGTAGAAATAGCTTGTGGCAACAGCAGAATGGTCACTGTGGTTTTCCAGGGGTGCAAGCAAGGGCTCTCAGCAATACAGCAGAGTTAACACAGAAGTACTGATCATGCTGCTGAGCTCTGAACACTCAAGAACGACACTCCAGAACTAGCACTATATCAAAACGACAAGCCAAATCAACTTTTCCTGGACCGAAAAGTGGAAATAGCTTGTGGCAACAGCAGAATGGCCACTGTGGGCCGCAAGGATCTGAGGCTTGAGGATGGCTCCCCCTAGTTTGGGGTGCTTCTAATTTCTTGAAAGAGGGTCGGGGGGGGAGGGGGGTGGGGGGTGGTTTATTACAAGCAGTGCAACAGCGCATGGGATTTTCATCGACTCGGGAACCCGTACTCCAAATCCCACTTGCGCTTCCGCGCCGCGCGCGGTAGCACAAGCGACCCCATCCATAGCACAAGTGCGCGCTATGGCAACCTGTACTTGCGCCATGGATGTGGTCACTTGCGCTTCCGCGCCGCGCGCGGTAGCACAAGTGAGCTTTGGAGTACGGATTCAGGATTTGGCAAGTGGCTGAAAACAGACTCTTTACAGTGAGGAATTTTGGTTGACTTGCGCTTACGCGCAGCGCGCGGAAGCACAAGTAGGTGAAAACGGACCATTTAGAACGAGGAATGTTGGTGGACTTGCGCTTACGCGCGGCGAGCGGAAGCACAAGTAGGTGAAAACGGACCATTTAGAACGAGGAATCTTGGTGGACTTGAGCTTGCGCGCGGCGTGCGGAAGCACAAGTAGGTGAAAACGGACCATTTAGAACGAGGAATTTTGGTTGATCTGCGCTGGGATCACGAGGTTGCACTATCCGACACTTTGGAACGGGAGGCTTCCCCACCGGAGGCATTTGGGATCTTTAGAAGCGGCTGGCTGACGCTCGAATTGCGGGCTGTGTGGGAGTGCGGGTGTGGTCGGGTGACACTGCATGTGTGGACAGCCGCCAACCCAAAACAAAACAACGAAACCTTGAACCCTTGTTTCGCCCAGAGTGCTTTGTTTAAATGTCCCTAAGTGTACGGGCCGATTGAACGGCAGGCCAGGCTCGTGGGTTGTTTCCTATCACGCGCCATAGCAAGAACAGCACAGCAAGAGCTAAGCATAGACGAGCGTCATCTTCAGACCCCTCGCTGTCCCCTTCACCTTCGGCCGTTGGCTTCTGGACACCTCTCAGACCCCATCACCCCAAGCTGGGAAGAACATGCGCCGGCCAGAAGCAAGGAAGCAGCACACATCTGAGATAGACAAGCTCTGCAATGCTTCATGCTTGAGGGTCTTACAGGGTTCGCGTCAGCAGATGACACCCTTGCATATAGTTCCAGCCAGCCTGTGCTCCGACGGAGCTGGGCGATCCTCGCAAGAATGATGATCGAAACGATCAGTGTGCGTTTGTTGTTCGGCCGGTCCCTCTGCTTGTAAACATCGGGCGGGCGACCAGCGCTGCATGCTGCCCAGCGTCAAAGCCAAGATCTCGTCTCGGCTGTCCTCACCCAAAGGAACCTGCATGACGGCCACTGCGGTAACAACAGGAAGACACAAAAACTTCGCCCTGCATGCATTACACACCTGCTCAATTAAGTTTAAAACAAGAATGAAACTTGTAATACAAAAAATAAATGCCTGCAACGCAGAGGTCACAAATGCCTGCGGCCGCCACTGCTGACATTTTAAGAGCCGACTGGTGTGGGCCTTGCTGCTTTTCAGCTCGAAGTGCTCGTCCGAAGGCGAGCCTCATGCAGGGCACTGTGCTAGCAGGCTCGGACGCACTCACGAAATCTCATGCTGCCCTTCAGTCTTGTGGAAGCTTCCAGTCAGCCATATACGACATCATATGCCACATGCAAGTCGAGTGGTCTGAGAAAGCATGTGCAGCCCAGCCTTTTCCGGCTCGAGCCTTCTCGTAGCTCTTGCCCTTCTGGGCAGCTCTGCCTTTTCCCTTCGACGCCATGGCCGCCAACTGGCCGCCAACAATTTGCAGCGTTGAATTCACAGGGATATGCGGGGGTCGATAGGGCCGCTGTCAAATCCGGCCACCTGAGCTGGAGGCTGAGGCCTAGAGTAAGTGCCTTGGTCAACGTACTCGGGTTTTCTCGTAGCGTTGGCTTTGCAATCAGTTCCAAGGGTCCGCTGGTTGCGACGCAAAAACTGTGTTTTTTCAGCTAGGTTAGGTGCTCTGAGTCTCTGCATGCTGCCCGCTGCCGTACACGCTCAAGGCTTCGTTGGCCTAAAATGAAAGGAAGAGCGCGGCGGATGAGCTGAAAGACTCAAGACGACATTATCATTACTCATGACGCCGTAGCAAGCTTTCGGGCGACAAACAATGCAACACGACTTCAATCACAGGAAATGCACTCAAAGCCTGTGCTTACACTGTTGTTCTCCACGCTGCCCACATTCAGCAGACCGGGTCCGCTCGGAGTGAAACTCTCGAAGGCCAAGCCAAGAGGGGAAAATCATGCCCGGTGGGATTAATGTGCAGACATTGCGCTGCTCATCGATGTACTGAATTCTTCGTGCAAATGCGCAGAGCTCATCTCCAAACCTGCAGGTGATCATTTTGGCCAATCGTTATAAGTAAGGAATGCTCGCGTACTGAAATTTGCAGAACTTCATGCCAGTCTGGCACTGCAATGGTTGTGCTGTGAAGCATGGGTGGGAGGCATTGCAATTTTGCTTTGGAGCAGTTCCCTTGTTGTGAGCAACGCCTTGGGCGCGCGTTCGAAAGTGCAACTGTATGTGAACTGACGGACAACTCAACTGCTCCAAGCAATTCAACATGAAACTGAGGCCTTAGGCCGCACTTCGACTGTCTGTCTGCAATGGCGTTCTGAATTGTATCCTGCTACCTGCGCAGATTCTAGCCTAGCTGGTCCAACTCCATGCTGCATCTCGTTGAACATGCGCCGCTGGTAAGATAAGATGTTTTTTTTGTTCCATGTCTTGCGCTCCTGCAAGTGATATTCCCATGGCTTGTTCAAACTCCCTTCCTGCGCCAGCAAGAAAAACTATGTGTTCATGGTAGTGTTTAAGCTTGCCGAAAACTCCTCAAAAGTCTACAGACCCGCAGAGACTGCCTACATATTATTTGCGTGCACCATGCGCATGGCGACGAATACCTGAACATTTCTAGTCCTACGATTTTCAGTTGAACACAAAACATGCAAGCATGTGAAACTAGCTACCAGCCATGAAGTGGGCGTCCGTCACAGGAATCGTAGGACTGCCATACGAGTGCTGAGGGCAATCCACTTAGACTAAAACCGAGTAATTACAGATCAAACATTACCAGTTTAGGTGATGATGCTACGGCGGTGATCTGCCCAGAAAATTTCAGCAGCACCACATAGCGGAGCTGCCAGGAAAGCATTAGCAATGTCCATCTTGGCTTGGCGAATTCCGTCCAGGGTCGGTTGTAAGCCGATTGCACCTCAGCAGATGCTGATACAAAAGAAGAATGGGTTCCTTTCCTTTTTGTATCTCTCGGAGCAAGGAGAACACCTGGACCAATGGCAGAGCAGGCACATGGTGGAATCGACACGACTGGAAGCCAAGGAACCTCTCTCAGAGGTCTTCCTCCTCGAGGGACTCGGAGTCGGAGACGGAGGGCGTCGGGTTCCGCTGCCTGGGACAACAGGAAGGCTGGGCTCGGCTCACAAACCGACCTTCCGAGCCAGGGTGCGACTGCGAGGTCGTGAAAAGGGAGTTGCTCGAGGAAGACCGCGCGAGCTGCGCAGTGGGTGATTGGACCTCTCTTGCAAGGCTCAGAATCTTCAGATGCCCTCACCTCATACAATCTCATACAATATTTACAATCTCGGGTTCCAGCTGCGTAGAATAGAAGCGCAAAGGCAAGAAGCCACAGATCTCCAACTGGGAAGCGTGCCGGTGACGAGTTCATCTGCTGCAGCAACCTGGGCCAGTGCACATTACGAGCATCACAAGCAGAGCCTTGTCCCTGCATACACCTGGAGTGAACGTTTTGGCCATGCACAGGGCAATGAAGTCCCAAGGCATGCTGCTGGTGGAAAACCTTAACCTCAACAAAGCAAGACCCTTCACTAGCTTTCCTCACGCAAAATCTGCAAGCTGACAGTCGCAAGCCGTCTCTGCCTACTGAAAGCATAAGCTTTGGAAGCCTCAATTGCTGCCTCAACCAAAGCACGTCAGCGGCCACCGATGCATCGGCAGGTCAGATTCAGATGATGGAAGAAAGGAGCACAACTAGAAGGCCTTCTTGTGGGGTTCTCTACATTTCCAGCCCTATGTAATCATCCCTGAACCCTCATGAGCCCTAGACAATTCTCTGAGATTTGACATCAGGAGCCCTAGAAAACCCCTAGAGGAAGCCAGGGGACACCGGTGATTGTGGCAGCTTCGGAGTGCAGGGCAGCTCCAGTGGCTCAGGAGGCGGTTGGAAGCGTCGCTCTGCGCCTTGGAGGGTTCTCCAAGGGCACTTGAGGCCACTTGCCTACAGCTGACTTAAGGTCGCCTTGCGGTGATTTTTGCTGCAGGAGGGTCTGTTCTATTGCGGCTTCGGGGTTTGAGATTTCTTACTTTTCGGGGAAGGGGGGCAAGTCGCGCAAGCATGGCTCCTTTACAGGGTTCGGCTTGCATCAAGAAAGTCATGGGAGTCCAGAGTTCGTGACTTGCGATGGGATGCATTAATTTGTGCCTTCAACGACCCCAGCCCAGGCCAAGTGGCGTGTGTCCGCAGTTTGCACAACACTTTGGCGCAAACCCAGAGCCTTGCCAGCGTGTTGAAGTCAGTTGCAATTTGCTATAACCTATCTGCAAAGCACCGGCACGGCACTTCTGCTCTGTGCATTCGGGAAAGCCGTTGCTGCTCATGATTCTTTCGAGCACTTGTGCTGCCCGGCTGGCCTCAAGCACCGCAAGAACACCCTCGCGGTCCGGTGCCATCGGTGCCAAGCATACCTCATCCCAGGGCTGCACCACATGAGTCTGAAACGTGTGTGTGCAGAGTCGTTACCGCCTGCTATGCCTGACGAAGGGTCACAAGCACCCAATGCCCCCTTGAAACAGAATGCCATGGCAATAAGAAGCGTTCTCTGCGTCCGACAAAGTATACTGCCATAATGATGCCAACTTACTTCGACTTCCCAAACACCAATGCCAATGTCATGTCTCCAGAGGCTCCACTCGCAGTTCCGCAGGCTTATGGGCAGGGGCTTGGCCAAGATGCGATCATTGTTGCTGTGCAGCCCTGCCCAAAGCAATCTTGCAGCAACGCGGCCAGCACCTGCCAGAGACTGGTTTGCCAGACTGGCTTGTTGTTGTTACGGACCACATTGCGTGCTAGAGACAGCAGCGCATGCACATGCAGGCAGAACAATATCGTGGTGGAACGCCACTGACACCATGGATTTGGAAGAAGCCGCTGTGCCGTGAAGCCGTTGACGCCGTGGACTCGGTGGCGCCGTTGTCGCACTTCCAGCGAATGATGCCGATTGATGCCGTGAAGCCGTTGACGCCATTGACTCTTGAAGCCACTGACGCCGCTGATGTTGAAGCCATTGACGCCGTCGCGTCTTCGCTCTTCGCCGAAGTCAAGCCTTCGGGCCTTCGAGGCTTCACGCGAGGAATCAAAAGTCGTCTTCGAGCCTTCGCGTCTTCACGCGAGGAATCAAAAGTCGTCTTCGAGTCTTCGCCCCTTCGTAAAGAGAAGTGCAATCTTGGCGTAACAGGCCTTGTTGCCGGGTCCATCCACAGAAGTTGGGCCGCTCTGGACAGTTGGTGACCTGGCGTGGCACCACGCAAAAACTTTGCTGAGCTGCTTGGGTCCCAGTCTATCCAAGTCGTAGTGCTGCCCTTCCCGTTCTGCAACTTGCAAGCAAATTACGTCACGTTGAACAAGGAGTGCTTTCAAAGTCCATTGAAGCCGAGGCTCCAATTCGAGCTGCTCACCCCTGTGACGCTGTGTGGACCTTGCCGAGCCTGAGGGGAAAAATACCCAGGGAAGGACCAGCTGGTTTTCTCGTCTAACTACCGAACCGACCTATAACCTGACGCTGCGACTGCGTTTTTGCTTTCCCACTAATTCGGCAACGTTGACGTCCTATACCGCCTGCAGCATCACAAGCGTGATGGTCACCAAACCCCAAACTCATGAAACCAAGAACCCTTTGAAGGCTAAACTGGCTAAACATCTCTTTCTCTCTCCTCTCTGAGCGACTCAGTGCTTGACAGAACATGCCACGGACCAGCTCAGCGCCCGGTCCACGGCTGGTGAGGATGCCTTGGGCTTGGTGCATTTTGAGAACCTTTTGGACACAAACCCAAATCAGGTCGAGACCCCAAAAGCTACTAAACTACGAGCAATTTCGTTGCCGGGGGGGAGAAATTCCAGAAGTCAACAACATTCATGCGGCGAGCAGAGTCAGGGGGCACAAACCGGCACCTTCTCCAATTGCCTTGCTCCAGAAGGAAAACATCTACCGTCTACCGGGCCCTCAGTCTCCCCAACTTTGCCGAGTTGCCCCTGCTAGGTCTGCGACCAATAGGCGGCTTCGGCAGGTAACGCCTCTGCACTACGTCATTTGATGCGTTTCCAGGTCTGCTGCAGCAATTGGCTGTCCATCTGTGCGGCTGAAGCACACAAGGACCCAGGGCTGTCGGATTCTACGTACATGTAAACGTGCCGAAGAGTGAGGTGTGAATGCCTGGTACCCTCCAGAACACTCTGAAAGCCGACTGCTATTCTGCAAGCTAGCCTGTTAGTCGATTGCGTCTTGTCAGCTGCAGGATGACGACAGCATGGCGGGAGGCGCAATTGAGCGGTTGCTGCCATATCTCCTGTCAGCAAGGCACACACGCCACTCACACAGCTATTTTCATCATGCTTTATCAGCGACTGCAAAACATCTGACTAAATAGAACTTGTTCGGTGAACACGAGGCTACATAAGGCCACAAAACACTGAAGTCACCG